TATATATATATATATATATATATCTTTATTTTCCATTCTCCAATATTGTGCCAGTCTATAAAAATGTGAAATGTAACTGAGGATAGACAACACGCAGATTAGTTAAAGGAAAGCCAAGTCTAGCAATTATAACCCGTTCAACAGCCCTAAATCACAAAGTTGATAGATTTTAGAGAATAACATATAATCTGGCAAAATATAATGGAATATTCAAGTAATTTGCTTTTACACAAAATGACATAGCCAAGAGAATCAAGAAAAAATTGCATCATGTAAACATTGCCAAAAGGATGACCGAACTGGATTGAGGCACCCATAGATGATATATAAAGGTTAAAAACAAACACTTCATGACTAATGAATGTCCCCACAACATGAGATATGACTTGATGTGATTCTCAACAATCCCACCGAATAAGAAAAGATGCGTTATCAACAATTTTTTATTATTTGACATGAAACTCGAGATATTTTTTGAATAAAAAATATTCTAGATTCAAACTCAAGATCATTCAAAGCTCTGATTTCAACAAGTTTATAATCAAACTAATCGTCTCGATAAGACGAACCCAATGATATCAAATTGTCCAAATTTAAGTCCAATCAAGCTCGAATCAAGCCATTAGAACACATTTGGAGGCTTTAGATCATTACTTAGATGATTAAATGAATTCCAAATTAGACATTTATATTATAATCAAGCATCTCAACGAGACGAATCCAACGAGCCTAAACTCCCTTAATTCTGAGATAATTAAAGTCTTCAACAACAATAACAAGCCTTTATCCTTATCCCACTAAGTGGGGTCGACAACATGAATCCTTTTTTATATAATCTTCTATTGAGTGTCATATTTTCATTTAATCAAAATAAAATAAGATAATTTTCTATACAATATGCCCAAGTCTTTTTAAGTCTGCCTCTGCCTTTCTTAACACAAGTCAAACCGAAAACATCTACTTTGCTAATCAGACCATCAAATGGTTGATGTTTAATGTGACCAAACTATCTAAGGTGACTCACTCGAATCTTTTCCACCACTAGAGCTACACCAACCCTATCACAGATATATTCATTTCATATTTTGTGTCCATTTGTCGGCCAATCATCCACATAAGAATTTTCATCTCAGGAACACTTAACTTCATATTATGCTTTATGCTTCTCTTTTAAATGTAAGGTGTCAAAAATTGGCCTGACACACTAACATGACTTAAACTCGACTCAAAAAATCCGAGTTAGGGGTTGACCTAAATATTTTTAAAGTCGGGTTCGGGCAAGAGAATTCGATCAATTTATTTTTTGAGTCGGGTTCGGGTTGAACCTGAAAACCCAAACATGTCCCGAAGAAGCACGAAAGGTCGAGTTGAGTTCGGGCAGGATCAGGTCTTAGTTTTCAACTAGTATAAGTGCTAGGGTCGGGTTGACCCTATTTGGATCAGACTCGAACTTGACCTGCTAACCATAATTGATATTCCTATTTAAAGGCCAACATTTTGCGCCATAGAGCAATGCAAGTCTTACCACCATCTTATAAAATTTTCCTTGAAGTCTAAGCGGTACTTTCTATCACACAATAGGCCTGATGCATTCCTCCACTACAACCAACCAACTTGAATTCTACTAATAACATCCTCATCTATATCACCATCACTTTGAAGAATATACCCAAGCCATCTAAAACATTCACATTATTTAATGATTTGATCACATATAGTTATAACTTTGCCATTAAAACTATTATTACTGAAATTATATTTCATGTATTCTATTTTATATTTACTCAAATAAAGGCTTTTAAAATCCAATGTAGACCTTCATAATTTATGCTTTTTTTGAACTCTTTCTCTAGTCTTATCCACAAGAAAGATAGCATCAATGAAAAACATGCACCAAGGTACATTCTCATGTAATTGTTCAGTAAGAGCATCCATAACTAAAGCAAAATGATATGGGCTTAAAGCTGATCCCTGATGTAATCTAACTGAAATAGAAAAATAATTGGTCAATCCTCCTTTTGTTCGAACACAAGCAACTGCTCTCAAATTGTTAAAAAAGTACCATATGATCAAGAGCGATCAATATGAGTCGTTTGATCAGGTGGTTATGAGAGTTATTCACTTAATGACCAAAATGCCTCTCCACCGGAGGTTATAATTAGACCCCTCTATTCACTTGAGAAGTGGAAAAGAATGAGTCAAATTCTAGTGTTGTTCTTAACTAAAGACCTGATGATAGCTTTTGGTCTTTGTAGCTGTTGACCATAGACCACCATCGCCCGCTCATAGTGGTCGACCACCATCAATATTCCTCTACTTGCCTCTGCGGTGAACTCTGTTGTGCAACGATGTATCCCTAAATATGATGTAATGATGTATCTCTAAATATAATGTAATGAATTATCTTGAATGTAGTGTAATGAAGTATCTTGAAAATATTGTAATGAAGTATCTTGAATGTACTATAACAATGTATCCAAAAAATTGTATAAACGAATAATATAGTATTAAAGTTCCAACGATAAGTCCCGGCCACAACGGTTTATAATGTCATATTAAGAATACGATAAGTTTCTCTGAATTCCTAAAGTTTTTTATACATTGTATATCGACAAGTATTTTCTTTAGTGTAAAATAACAAACTTGAGAGAAGGTTTGTGACCACCAATGGGTGTAAAACCAACTGTGGTCTCCTTAACCAACTAACTCCCTTGTAATGACCCACTACAACCAATGTGGCCACTTACTACTGTAACTACCCACTCTAACTACCATCATTAAACCCTTCAACTATAGGCTTCGTGCCCTTGCAGTGACTCATTATAGCATATGCGTCTAGTTACTATACTACCCACTATAGATTACTAATTGTTATCGTTACAACCTTTCACCATAACATATGTGGCCAACTGAAGCTCTTGTAGTAACTCATTGCGGCTTATGTGACCAGTTACTATTATAGCTTGCCATTATGACCTATGTGGTCAACTATCCTCATTGTAGCTTTCCAATAGGGCTTTTGTGGCCAACCAATGCTCTTACAGTACCAACTACAGTTGCCTCTCAAGTTAATTGATGCTATTGCAGTTATCAATTAAGGTCTATGTGACCAACTATGATCTATCAAACTAAGTACTATGTTTGACCAACTACTGCCTATGTTGTTAAATTATTACTACAATTTCCAACTATGACATATGATGCTAACTGCTACTTCAGCTACCAACCACAACACATGTGACTAGTTATGACATATCTAGCTAAATGTTACTACAACTTCCAACTACAGTCTTTATGCTTAGCGTATTCTCTTGTAGATACCAACCAGACCTTGTGTAACTATCTACATCCTATATAGCTAACTTCTACTGTAGATTCCAACTACGACCACTATGGCCAATTGATACTGTTGTAGCTACCAACCACCAGCTATGTAACCAACCACGACTATGTGGCCAACTGATACTACAACTTCCAACAATGTCCTCCGTGGTCAACTAACATTATTGCAATCTCAAACGATGGTATCTATGACCAACTGGAACAATTACAAGTACCAAATACAATCTTTATGGCTAATTACTACCTTTGTAGCAATCAACTATAATCTTTGTAACTTGTTATCAATATTGTTGTCAATAAATACATTAATTGTAGCCCAATTTCCACAAGTAAAGTTGGATGACTATGAACACCTATAATTATGAGCACTATAATTCTATCTTCTCTAATTCAGGCGAAGTGATGACCTATGTACTTAAAATCATATAATTTACTGGGCTAGGCCACATGATTTTTTCCCATTTCAAGATTTTTCCACATAAAAAAATATTGGTAGTTTCTTTTATTACTTTTTTTATCATCTGTGTATGCTGGATTTTTGTACAATGCTGAGACATAAAATTATCACTCTACCACTATGAAGTGTTTGACATGCAGCTATTTGGTGTTGTATGTGAGAAATAAAAGCACATTGATAAAACTTTATACTTTTACAATTGCTAACAAATATAATATATGAGCATCTTATTCTAGTACCCATCATTCCTAGAGACGATCTTGAAGTTCGAGACACCAACCCTCTACTTCATTTTGAGTAAAACAAATCACCTGCTGGTAAAGGAACTTCATTTGCACTGCTTAAAGAGTGTGTACAATGAATGGAGGAATCTCAAAATGATATCCTCTAACTTTTATGCCAGGTGAAACAACTGATGGTAGTGCATACTAGAGGGGTGCAACTACAACAAAATTCTTTGATTAGAGGTACATGGTTAGTAGCACCTCCATATGTCAAAGTTTCTTCTCAAGACATTAACCTCATGTACATTGCTAGATCTACATATCTATCTCATGTAGTTAAGTCTAACAACCAATATCCAATATATATAACTCAACCTCACACAATATGTGATGAGATATAACATCTTGTG